GATTGAAAAATAACATGTTAGCATTACATTGTGGAAGACTGACCCACTGTTATGCTTCTTTACAGACAAGTTCTGGTACTGTCGACTGTCGCCCAATCATAAAGTTCTCCACTATGGGGATCTGGAGGAGAGCCCTCAGGGAGAGGTACCCCATGATTCCCTACAGGACAAACGTGAGTACAGCCTGAATACTGACCACGATATAGTGGCTTCACTTTATAAAGATGGGCTTAAGATGGCCACACCCTGTCTTATTCATTATTCTTTGTTCCCTGTGGCAGTTCCTGTGGCTGATATCAAAGCTGTTGTCACTGGTAAAGACTGTCCACATATGAAGGAAAAGGGAGCTCTGAAGCAGAACAAGGTGTGTGCTTGATGACAGAGAGCAAAAAATGCTCTTGAATATCAAAAGATCAAATTTTCCTTTGATGCACCGGTGTGTGGCTTGGTGACAAAGGATGCATTAGTTATGCCTTGTAGCTCTGTGAGTAATGATCATCAGCTCACTTCAGTTTCAAAGTCACCCATTCTTCTTCCCACAGAACAAAGCAGGCAATGTCAAATTTATGCCACAACTGTAAAAAACAAAAGACTCCCTGTTGACAATATTGATTAAACTTGAAGACAGCATATCAAGTAAAACTGGAACTTTCTGGCACAGCCAAAAGGTTGTTGGATCCCCCTAGTCCTGATGACACGGACTCTAAAAAAATTATCTGCATCAATATTGTTTTTGTCCTTTAAGCAAGATTTATCTTAATAGGAATTTGACTTGGAAAATCATTCTTCCCACAGAACAAAGCAGGCAATGTCAAATTTATGCCACAACTGTAAAAAACAAAAGACTCCCTGTTGACAATATTGATTAAACTTGAAGACAGCATATCAAGTAAAACTGGAACTTTCTGGCACAGCCAAAAGGTTATTGGATCCCCCTAGTCCTGATGACACGGACTCTAAAAAAATTATCTGCATCAATATTGTTTTTGTCCTTTAAGCAAGATTTATCTTAATAGGAATTTGACTTGGAAAATCACTTGCTTCATCAACTGCTGAAGAAGAGATTGTTCTGTTTCTATTCTCTCGATTGTCTGTAATCTCATCTCTGCATGGAATAGCAGGAAGATGCTGTGGGCAGAATGTGAGGGGTCAGAAATGTTTGTCTGCTCTCATTTTGGATGTGATGTAGCTCTCATCCTACATTTACTAAATGTAAATGTCATCCAATGATCCTTTAAGCCATTCGGCTGATCCAATTTCATCCTGTTTTTTTTAAGTTTTTTTTTTAGGTTAGTTGACCCAAAGAAGACAATTAGAATTGATGTGAGGGCTGATTCTGTGAAGGCTGAGAAGCACCAGTAATGCCTCAGCGTTTGCCACAAAAGTACATCCTTTTCTGTGCTTTTGTTATCATCTTATTTACCATCCTAGACAGGTCTCTTGAGAGGTCAGGTGGTCTGAAAAGTGCTGATAAGATCTGGGTATAGACATTTCAAATGTGCCACAGAGGATTAGTTTGTTGGCCAGTTGAACCAAATGTCATCCAATGATCCTTTAAGCCATTCGGCTGATCCAATTTCATCCTGTTTTTTTAAAGTTTTTTTTTAGGTTAGTTGACCCAAAGAAGACAATTAGAATTGATGTGAGGGCTGATTCTGTGAAGGCTGAGAAGCACCAGTAATGCCTCAGCGTTTGCCACAAAAGTACATCCTTTTCTGTGCTTTTGTTATCATCTTATTTACCATCCTAGACAGGTCTCTTGAGAGGTCAGGTGGTCTGAAAAGTGCTGATAAGATCTGGGTATAGACATTTCAAATGTGCCACAGAGGATTAGTTTGTTGGCCAGTTGAACCTCCTCTTACTTGAATTGGTAATTTGCATCTCCATGGATTTGTAATTGCCAAATGCACTAGATACCCTTTCTGACAGCTACCCCAAAAACATCATGTATTTTCCATGTTGAGTCAATGAGATTGAAGTATTTTGTTACTTCAAGCTTTGATGCACTTCCGGTGCTGATCATCCTACTGCTGTCTCTTGGTGCCTGGCAGGAGAGGCCTGTATACATACACACACACACCAGATTGGACCATCTGCTGTTGTAATATGTTCGCAGAAGATCTGCAAAAAGTCACGCAATAGGAGGCACACAAACACAGCAGCCCCATTAGCATTTGACAGACGATGTCAATTCTCTTTCCTTCTTTAGGAGGTGCTGGAGCTGGCTTTCTCTGTCCTCTATGAATCTGACGAGTATCTAAACTTCATTGCCCCTGACAAGCATGAGGTGAGCAAATGCCAACCGCTAGCTACAAAGTTGTAGCTGTTGTCCCTCTTTGGTGTGATTTGGACTTTGTGCATGCTGTGGTTTAATGTCATGTTTTCTGGACAATTTTCAGTACTGCGTGTGGACAGATGGGCTGAATGCACTGCTGGGGAAGGAGATGACCAGTGAGTTCACTCGCTCAGACATGGACACTCTTCTCAACATGGAGATGAAGCTCCGCCTCTTGGACCTGGAGAACATCCAAATCCCTGAAGTTCCTCCCCCAATCCCCAAAGAGCCAAGCAATTATGACTTTGTTTATGACTGCAACTAATTCCCTTTCACTGGACTGACTGATTTTTCCTAAATGCATACTGGAAGAAGGACTTTTACAAAAAGTTAAAGAAAAGAAAAAACGGAAATTTCTTTCATGCTAAAACTTGGCTCTCTAGTGCGCCTCATCACAATGGATTTGCTGAACTTAATGGACTTGGCTTGCACGGCCTATGAACCATCTGGTCTGGTTGAAGAACCACCACAAACTGGTCCTCAGGTCCTAAACCATTCTAGTCCTGTCGCAGTCATTTCCAGACATCTCTTCGAACGGTTACATTCCTTAAACAGCCCACCTGCTCTGGCTTAAAAATGGTTGTGTCAAGAGTTTTTGTCCCATCATAATTTCTGTCTGTTCAGAGTGGGATGCTCCCTGTAGAGTGTGCAAAATGTCTAGGGGATTGTGGCATGTAGCACTCACTGTAGGATGTTTCTCACTCCAACAAGCGGCAGCTATATTGCTAGCAAAGTCCCAAGTTTGTTCTTAATGATTTCTCCCAAGTATCCCATTCATGCCTCTTATACTTGTAGACTGTTAAATTAAATAGGCAGCTTCATGCAAGAGGTTGCCTCTTTTGTCTTAAACCATACCTGCTTTGTGCACACATTATCATTGTCTGACTGTAACGCAGGCATGTAGATATAGCTCTTTCCTTCACTTGACATCAACTAGACTCATGGCAGACTGCTGTAACATTCCAGAGCAATATTGAGCTTCTGTTTTTGTAAGCTGGTATAAACTTTCGTGATATTCGTGATTGCTGCCAAGTAGTCAGTATTATACATTGAGTGTTTAAGGAATTTTATTTTCAGGGCCGTCAAATTTAATTTGAACTTTCATGATTAATTTAATTTAAGATTGTGGGTATTATGATTTTTTTTTACCCCTCATGTTTGTTATAGTTTAAGAACGCAACATCCTGCTGTTTGCATTAAAGATGGATTCCAATTCAGTTTTTAGTTTCAGCATTTCTTTATCATGTCATCTTTACATTACCTAATAATCTTTTGGTGTCCAGTCCTGCTCCAAAACACCTGCCTGGAAGTTTCTACTTATCTTGAAGACCTTGATTAGCTGGTTTAAGTATGTTTGGAGCTAAACTCTGCTGGAAGCTCTTTCATCAACATTTGACTGAAAAAACAAAACAAAAAAAACAACTTTGCTTTTTTTTTTAAAGCTTTTTTTAATTAGTACTTGTACTAATCTGTACAATGTCTGAAACATTATAATTACGAGCACTCCCTGTGATGAATCGCTTGTTGAATTCCTCAATTGTAAGTTGCTTTGGATAAAAGCGTCTGCTAAATGAATAAATGTAAATGTAAATGGAAGGTTGCCCTCAAGGAACAGGACTGGACACTCTTCATTTTTATATTCTATGTATTTCCTTGTATTGTATATTCTTCCATAAAATATTCTGTATGAGTTTGTGGGAACCACCTTCATTGAGTGGTGATATCCAGAAGATGTGTATACCCTATTTCTTCTATTACACAATTAAGAAAGCGGATTGCTACCCACAAACAAAAACACTGGCCATCACAGCTTTCTGCATTAAATGATTGACTCTGAGCTGACTCGGGGCGTCCCAGAGTGTTCTTTACAGCTCTGTGTAGTAATAACAGGGCCAGGATGACAAAGGGACTAGTGGAAGGCTCAGAGGAACACCTGAGCAAGGAGACAACTGAATTTTGTCACAGGCCCTTATTTGGCCAATTTATTGAAAAGTCTGTCATGCAGCAGGTTCTGCAACACTTAAGAGAAATCTCTGGAATGCTCATCTTGTAGACAGAATAAAAAATAAATAAAAAATAGAACAGAATATTATGGATGGATGATTTTACATTTTAGATGTTATGCCAGCTGGGGATTAAAACTTAACCTAAACATCTTAAAATGCCTGCATGTGTATTCAACTTGATACACTATTTTACAATAAAAAAAATGAATGGCAATGGGCGGCGTACATCTCCGTACACGTACTATACAGTAGCTTGAATTTTTATGTGACTTCTCTACAAAATTGTGTGGCTTATAGACAGAACAAGGAATGACTGCAGTTTAAAACCCTCATCCGTCCCTCGGGTCATTTTGACCTGAAACTCATTTTTAAAGATTTTTTTAAAATAGAGCGTTGATCGTTATGGTATGAGACTTTGTCACACTTAAACCGGGAATACACGAAAAAAAAAACTATTTGAGCGAATTCGAGCAGTTCAAGTGGGTGTTATATAAAAAGTATCAAAAGTGTCCCTCGCAGGTCCCGCCACTGGAAAAGCATGGAATTTACGGGAAAAAAATGCTGGATTTTTTAAATTTCATTTTGTCAGACTTGAAGCATAGAGCACACACAAAAATTAGTCGATTCGAGGATTCTATGTGGGTGTAAATTCTCTTTCCTTCTTTAGGAGGTGCTGGAGCTGGCTTTCTCTGTCCTCTATGAATCTGACGAGTATCTAAACTTCATTGCCCCTGACAAGCATGAGGTGAGCAAATGCCAACCGCTAGCTACAAAGTTGTAGCTGTTGTCCCTCTTTGGTGTGATTTGGACTTTGTGCATGCTGTGGTTTAATGTCATGTTTTCTGGACAATTTTCAGTACTGCGTGTGGACAGATGGGCTGAATGCACTGCTGGGGAAGGAGATGACCAGTGAGTTCACTCGCTCAGACATGGACACTCTTCTCAACATGGAGATGAAGCTCCGCCTCTTGGACCTGGAGAACATCCAAATCCCTGAAGTTCCTCCCCCAATCCCCAAAGAGCCAAGCAATTATGACTTTGTTTATGACTGCAACTAATTCCCTTTCACTGGACTGACTGATTTTTCCTAAATGCATACTGGAAGAAGGACTTTTACAAAAAGTTAAAGAAAAGAAAAAACGGAAATTTCTTTCATGCTAAAACTTGGCTCTCTAGTGCGCCTCATCACAATGGATTTGCTGAACTTAATGGACTTGGCTTGCACGGCCTATGAACCATCTGGTCTGGTTGAAGAACCACCACAAACTGGTCCTCAGGTCCTAAACCATTCTAGTCCTGTCGCAGTCATTTCCAGACATCTCTTCGAACGGTTACATTCCTTAAACAGCCCACCTGCTCTGGCTTAAAAATGGTTGTGTCAAGAGTTTTTGTCCCATCATAATTTCTGTCTGTTCAGAGTGGGATGCTCCCTGTAGAGTGTGCAAAATGTCTAGGGGATTGTGGCATGTAGCACTCACTGTAGGATGTTTCTCACTCCAACAAGCGGCAGCTATATTGCTAGCAAAGTCCCAAGTTTGTTCTTAATGATTTCTCCCAAGTATCCCATTCATGCCTCTTATACTTGTAGACTGTTAAATTAAATAGGCAGCTTCATGCAAGAGGTTGCCTCTTTTGTCTTAAACCATACCTGCTTTGTGCACACATTATCATTGTCTGACTGTAACGCAGGCATGTAGATATAGCTCTTTCCTTCACTTGACATCAACTAGACTCATGGCAGACTGCTGTAACATTCCAGAGCAATATTGAGCTTCTGTTTTTGTAAGCTGGTATAAACTTTCGTGATATTCGTGATTGCTGCCAAGTAGTCAGTATTATACATTGAGTGTTTAAGGAATTTTATTTTCAGGGCCGTCAAATTTAATTTGAACTTTCATGATTAATTTAATTTAAGATTGTGGGTATTATGATTTTTTTTTACCCCTCATGTTTGTTATAGTTTAAGAACGCAACATCCTGCTGTTTGCATTAAAGATGGATTCCAATTCAGTTTTTAGTTTCAGCATTTCTTTATCATGTCATCTTTACATTACCTAATAATCTTTTGGTGTCCAGTCCTGCTCCAAAACACCTGCCTGGAAGTTTCTACTTATCTTGAAGACCTTGATTAGCTGGTTTAAGTATGTTTGGAGCTAAACTCTGCTGGAAGCTCTTTCATCAACATTTGACTGAAAAAACAAAACAAAAAAAACAACTTTGCTTTTTTTTTTAAAGCTTTTTTTAATTAGTACTTGTACTAATCTGTACAATGTCTGAAACATTATAATTACGAGCACTCCCTGTGATGAATCGCTTGTTGAATTCCTCAATTGTAAGTTGCTTTGGATAAAAGCGTCTGCTAAATGAATAAATGTAAATGTAAATGGAAGGTTGCCCTCAAGGAACAGGACTGGACACTCTTCATTTTTATATTCTATGTATTTCCTTGTATTGTATATTCTTCCATAAAATATTCTGTATGAGTTTGTGGGAACCACCTTCATTGAGTGGTGATATCCAGAAGATGTGTATACCCTATTTCTTCTATTACACAATTAAGAAAGCGGATTGCTACCCACAAACAAAAACACTGGCCATCACAGCTTTCTGCATTAAATGATTGACTCTGAGCTGACTCGGGGCGTCCCAGAGTGTTCTTTACAGCTCTGTGTAGTAATAACAGGGCCAGGATGACAAAGGGACTAGTGGAAGGCTCAGAGGAACACCTGAGCAAGGAGACAACTGAATTTTGTCACAGGCCCTTATTTGGCCAATTTATTGAAAAGTCTGTCATGCAGCAGGTTCTGCAACACTTAAGAGAAATCTCTGGAATGCTCATCTTGTAGACAGAATAAAAAATAAATAAAAAATAGAACAGAATATTATGGATGGATGATTTTACATTTTAGATGTTATGCCAGCTGGGGATTAAAACTTAACCTAAACATCTTAAAATGCCTGCATGTGTATTCAACTTGATACACTATTTTACAATAAAAAAAATGAATGGCAATGGGCGGCGTACATCTCCGTACACGTACTATACAGTAGCTTGAATTTTTATGTGACTTCTCTACAAAATTGTGTGGCTTATAGACAGAACAAGGAATGACTGCAGTTTAAAACCCTCATCCGTCCCTCGGGTCATTTTGACCTGAAACTCATTTTTAAAGATTTTTTTAAAATAGAGCGTTGATCGTTATGGTATGAGACTTTGTCACACTTAAACCGGGAATACACGAAAAAAAAAACTATTTGAGCGAATTCGAGCAGTTCAAGTGGGTGTTATATAAAAAGTATCAAAAGTGTCCCTCGCAGGTCCCGCCACTGGAAAAGCATGGAATTTACGGGAAAAAAATGCTGGATTTTTTAAATTTCATTTTGTCAGACTTGAAGCATAGAGCACACACAAAAATTAGTCGATTCGAGGATTCTATGTGGGTGTAATAAAAAAAAAATAACAAAAGTGTCCCTCGTGGGTCATTTTGACCCGGCCATAGGAATTAATGGAATGTCCGAGAAAAAAAAAAAAGCAAGCATTTTTTATTTGATTTTTTTGACTATACAAAATGTGACACAATCCAGAAAAGATGCATACCCAAACAAAGGGCTGAGACTGCAGAATGCCCCCAATGCACAAAAAAACCTCACATACCCCCCCACACAAACACACACACTCCCATTGAAACATATTATAGCATGTATGATGTTTCTGCTGGGAAATGACTGTCAATTTTATTTTTTATTTTTTTTGACTTAGTTAAATTTGAGTGATGGGGTAGAGACCAATGAGACCAATATCAATGTTATATCATATTTATATTTTTAAATGTGTCTTTTATATTGATTACATATTCATGAAACTGTATGAATATGCGAAACGTGTTTGGATTAAAAATTCAGTATCAATTTCCCCATTTTTTTTTCTTTTAACAAAATACAGTTTTTTTTTTTTTTAATGTTTCGATATATATCTGAAAGCTTAATGAAGCCTCAAGTTGGTGTAGTTTTACAAAATTCACTTGTTTGGCTCATTTAAGAATCTCCATAGGATTCTATGGGCCCCTCTAGTGGCTGTAATCATAAATGCAATTTTATGTCATTTTTCCCAACCAGATGGCACCAGAGACACTCAGTGACCTAGGTCCTGATGCATCATCACATTTAACGTATAAATATGCAGAAATTGTTTTCTTTGGGGTTTTTTTTTTTGGCGAAAAAAATTATAAAAATATGCACATTTTTATAAAAATATTCATATGTGAACAATAAAAATCCCCCCAAAATAATAAAAAACCTACATTAAAAAAATCTGAATATATATATAAAAATGGACCAATATAAGCTTTCTGTTCCAAAAAAAAAAGCAGCATAATTTTTGGCCTTCGGGTCATTTTGACCCACAAGGGACACTTTTGTTATAGGTTCGGGAGGGACGGATTTAAGTGAATAAGGACTGATTCAGTTCACTGTGACTTTTACAATTGCGTCTAAATGAATGGCTCAATGACTTTCTTAAAAAAAAAAAAAGGTGTTAAGAATAGAGCTTCCAAAAATGAAAATTCCGTTATTTACTCACCGTGTCTTTTCACTGAGTCAGTTGATCTGAAACCATTACCTGAGGAATGAATTAGTCTAATCCGTTTCTGGAGTTCAATTCACTATCAAAAAAGTTAATAGCTTACATTAAGCTAATGTATTACTTGTGAAAGCTAATATAGCACACTAATTTTGAGGATTAACGTCTTCAATAACCATCCACTGTCATCTAAAAAAAAAAAACATTGTTTAAAAATATCTTATTTTGCATTCCTTATAGGAACAATGAGTGATGACAGAATTTACATTAATTGGTGAAACAGTCGTTTAATAGCATGTAAATAAGATTGTTTCCCTTATTTTATAAACCTAAGACATCTATTTCCTTAAGTGAATATTCTTCACAATCATGTTTTGCACACTATCTCCCTTCAGACAGTACATTTGTTTCGAAGCCTGTGTTAAAATTCAGAGGTCAGGTAACTGCTGAGGGCAGAAAAATAGGCCCACAACCCTCCTGACACAAAAGGCAGATTTTGGCAGTTTGCTTCAAGCATTTTAAGGAAAGATCAAGATTAACTGTGAGGAAAAACAGGTGGTCTGCTGAGGAGGAATAGTTAGCTTTCCTAATTTTTTGGATAATCCACAAGGCATCTGAATTGTTTATCCTTTATGTTAATGCTGTACTTGGAACAAGAATTAAAATCACAACTTATTAATATAGATTTATACACATACTATCCTGATTATAATATAGGCTGGATCTTCAAACTGAAGGGATGCGTCCTGCTGACGCATTCTCTCATTTTAGTCCACAGCTCTCTTACGGTGCCAGTACTGTGACTTATTTTATTCTAGTCCCATGATGTCACTTGTTTTCTTTCTGTTTTGGCGCAAGCCCATACAATACTAACAGCAGGGGCCAGAACAAAGGCTGGCTATATTTAACTCCGCAGAAACTGCTGCATCAGGCCGTATATGTGTAGGCCGTGGTGTGTCTTGCGGCAACTCTGAATTCAGCTCAACGATGTGTGAGAAGGAAATCCAGCACACATGAGAACAAATCTGAGAATGTGCTGGAAATATTCTAAATATTCAAAGGTGCAGAGACAGCTGTAGCTCCAAGGCATGTGCTCAGGGGAAGTGAAGACTATGAAAAAAATTGAAAAATCAATTTAGAAGAACTCAGATCCTGGGGGTCTGCAGATGTCAGTTATCCACAGAGTAAGCCGGAGGCCGTTATGGCTGATGAAATAGAAGATTCTTCTCTTCTACAAAGAGAAGAACACTGAGGTCTTTGAATACAGATTGAGAAGTATCCATGGAGGACTTTTCAACACGCCATTAGGCTCATTGATAGTAGGAATACACTGCCACCTACAGATTATGGTAAGAATCACTTCATGAGGATGCTAAAGAAACAGCAACAACACTAAATAAACATAAACATAATAAAAAAAGGCTAATTAATTATAAACTATCTACTGGTATTTACTTTTAGATATACATTATTTCCAGTTATATTGTGTCATGTGTTTGTGCAATGTATCATAGGCACTGGAGAAATTAAACGGGCATCATAATTCAAAGAAGAATTGTCATTTATTAAAAATTTAATTACATATTTAATGTATATATATATATATATATATATATATATATATATATATACACACACACTTAATTTCTTTACATTATATTGCCTACAGCAGCTAAGCAAATACGTCACTTGTTAAACTTCATAATTATATTTAAATGATTTGTTCAGCTATACTGAATTCAAGTCTTATCAAGTCAAGTTCTTGATACGTCCCTCTACTTGACATCAAAATATTGTAAGTATGCATTTGCTCTTAAGGCAAAGAAAAGTAAAAAAAAAAGACCAAAATGTGTAATACAAACCTAAATCGATCATATCACACACAATCTCAGAAAAAAAAAAAAAAAAAAATCTAGATAGATAAAATGATGGATGAATGGGTGGATAGATGGATGGGATTACTAGAGGTATATAGCAATGGATGGATGAAAGGAAGGGAAAATTGGAGGCATATATCCATGGATGGTTGGGTGGGTGGATGGTTGGACGGATGGGTGTATGCATGGATGGATGGGTGGGAGTACACATGTATGGATGGACAGATGAGAAAACTAGAGGGATTGATAAATTAGAAGAACATTGCAATGGATGGGAAAACTGGATTAATGGATGGATGGAAGATAGCAATGGGAAATCTGTATATAACAGCAGACGGATGGAAAAGCTGGATGTATACTAGTTGTATATACTGTAACAGTGGGTGGATGGAAAGAATAGACAGATGTAACAATGGATAGATAGGAAACTTGATATATAAAAAGGGATGGATGGATGAGAAAGGTAACTGACCGTGTTTCTGCGGTAACTGTTCTTAACAGTGTTGACTTCTGCTCGGAGGAGTTCTGACTGCTCATGGTTCAGTTCCTGAAAG